TGAATTTTGTTAGCGGCAAACCGATTCTCTAAGAGCACTGCTCTAACGGCTGCTAGGTCTTCATGAGGAATCGGCTTAGGCTTAACTTCATTAGCAAAATTTTTATCTATTTTTGTTAATGAGGCTGTCACAATTGTACTAGGTGAGAAATACAATAATATTCTACCTCTATCTAGAACGTTTGCCATATCGAAATTGAGACTAGAGACCAATGATATACGCGTAAATACCTCTTAAATATATCCTGTTTACATCTAAGTACATCCCACGCTGGCGCGCGTGCAATATGTGAAAATCTTGATATTCCATAGCGTTCTACTGTCCAGAGAATCTGTTGCTCTACACACAGTGAGCTTTTGATCTTTTGGTGTCGTTGAATTTTTTGTTCGAATAGAAATGCCGCTTTACAGTCATGACTAAACATCTGTCGCCATATGTTGTCGTACTAAGCCCCACGTTTTACAACCCAACTCGATCAGCGTAAGACTTAAATGGTTGAACAGCAGTTTCGGTGTCAAGGACGATACCATTTATCGGTTACAGTTCACCTAGATGTGACATGGCGTGAAGCGATTCCTAGTAGATAAACTGAGGTTGCCACACAGTTTTGTATTTATGCGTTTCGCCATCCCTACATGTACAATCAAAAGGCATCCATCGAACATGATCTTAGAGTGGGTGGAAAAATAAGGTTGGTAGAATAATATTTTTGTTCTATGATTGACTAGATTCTTTCCCTAACTTTATTCCGCCAATGAAATATGCTTGAGAGACGTTTGCTATCCTCAAAAGGACGCCGTGCATCGGCAACGATTTCTATATGCAGGACTAGTAATAATAATAATAATAACGAACAGGCCAATTAATAACTCCGTTGATCCAACATATATCATCTAGTCTATAATAATAATCTCCGTAGAAGTACATCGTGCATACAGTGTACACGGCCTATATCGCTTCGCATCTGTGCCTTAATCAAGCGCATGCGTATGATTTGTAACCATGTCACGCTTTCCACATTTGCTTTTAAGCGCGACCATACCAGAAACATGTAATTCATGTAACGAATAAGATACAGCCGGTCTCTAGAACCGAAAAAAACACGAAACGACAAAAATATTATCTATTATCAAAATATAAATCTAAGCATGTCTTCATAGAGAGAGTTGAATCGGTAGACGAATGTCCAACAAAATAAGAAAGGTCGTTGGCTTGCAGATGTCCTCGCGTGACGATGCTACTCGAGGGTGCCTGGCGTGCTACGAATAGAGTCTACTTATAGCTACAAATGCTTAGGGTGGCCAAATTGACTGTGAGAGGCGAACAGACAGACCGTCGACCATCTTTAAGCGTCCATTGAACTAACTATAGAATATAGTTGAATGCTGATAGCCCAAGCAACAAATGCTGCCTGCACTGGCTAACAATGGGGGGATGACCAGTAACACTAGCCCTCTGACTGTATCCGATTGGTATAAAAATATGTTGGTGCAAAAAGGATGTTTGGTCGACTGTTTTTTGTTTGGCAGTGAACGGTGGGCTGGTTGTTCTAAAGTGGCTGGCACATGCGCTATTCACTTGTACTACGCGACTGAATTGTGACTAATAGCATGGAATACATTAGCTAGACAACGAAATTTAAGCTTAACAAGAGTAGATATCGATTGAAAGTACAAGATGACCAAAATCTGTTCCCACTTTAAGATTAAGAAATTCATTAGCGTGTAAAAAGTTCTTACGAACTTTCTGTCCTACGATTAAAATGAATTATATAATTTGTCGCGTTCTACCTGGCTTAGGGGTGGAGATTAGAATCTTTCATTTGCCTAATGCAATTTTAATGTTTTATTGTTGGGATCGATAAAGCTGCAACAACAGTTGCATCGCCGTCTGTCTCTCTCTGGTTTGGCATATTACTTAATTAGCTCATAAGAGGCGCAGTTTTCATTCTTAAGAATAGGCCGGTACAGCGTAGGCATTTGGGAAGGTATGTAGATATCAACATTTCAGAACTTACACAACTTGCTCGAAACAATCACAAGTTTTTTAGGACAGCGTGTTTATCGTCACGCAGCTATTATTCCGATTTGTATTGGAATCCAAGTATTTTCTCTAGACGAATGCAAACGACCTCGACCTCCAAGTACAGCCGTTATAGAAGGCACTCACTCAGACCAAAGTGAACTTTTCACACGAAAATCTATTTGACATCAAAATACGCACCCCCGTTCCTACGACTCAAACAAAATCGCCCTTTTAGGCCTGCTGGAACGTGTACAGCCATGCGGTCAAGCGTTTCTCTTACGAATTCTTTAACGTTGCTTTTCTATCATATTCGTTCTAGTTTGGGCCTGGAAATACGAGCTGCAGATGACAATTCAGTCCTCACGGTAAGGAAGTAGTACTGTCTTTGCCGGCTAAATCTAGGGGCATGCAAGGTGATCTAGGTTCGAAGCCCAACCTATACGAGCTTTGTTTCATGCTTAAGGCAATGTTGAACCTAAAACTCAACGAATTTTTTTATTGAGATGTTATTTCGAGAAACCCAGCGCGCTTTGGAACATCAGCGCGAGAAGAGTTGTTTGACAGCACTAACTATTACCTATTTTTACTACTATCTTTACTATTGACGCAAATTAACGTATTTTGAATTTTCGAGTACAGCTTTTGTGCATGCTTCTCCAAATAACTTTATAGCCAGCGTTTTGTATATTGTCAAAGAAGTCATATTGATTAGTACGCGTGTTCCGTGTTCGTTGTATTAAGATTATGAAAAACTACGTCATTTGCCAGGCCGCTGTTTATTTAGTCCAAATCGCAGGCGCTTAGGGTGTGATATCATTGTTGGTTGAAACGATATTGCTATCTGCGTCGACTTAGAAGGTCACAGTGCAGGGTATGTTAATAGTTACTACCGTGGCCCTGTGTAATACTCTCAGCAGGGAGCTAACTGGAAGCCAAGTCTCTGTCGAGACTTGCACATTTTACTCATCTCTGATTGCTAGTACTGCGCACAACAACAGTTCAGTATTCAGACTCAACCTTGTGCGGCGTCCTATTAAAACAAGCAAAGTATTTTCTATATTTGTTAAAATGGATAGATCCGCAAGTTTCCCTTTCACGACGAACTATAAACATTCTACGCTTAATATACGAATCAGTTTATCGATGTTTGCACCTTTAAAAGCCTTCTTATTGGATTAAATTTCGTTTTCTGAAACCTAGATATCCGAGGTCGACAGCTGTCAAGACAGCTCTGCACCAATCCACGACCACAAATGTGCTGCTCAAGCTTGACGTGTCTACTCTATGGATTTAAAAGATTTTACAATGTAAAGCTAAATCTTCTAGGATTGTTTAGGGGTCGATTGAGGCTAACAATAAACTCTCCACAAGGAAAAACATACACACACGTAGTGGTAATACAAGATTGGCTATTAATTGCAAAGTATTGCTTCAATATGGAACGGATGAATATCAGTGATTAGCACGTCATACGCATTCTTCGTGCCCAATGCTGGTCAGCATGCTATCATACCTTGATAATAATTCAGCGATGCCAAGATCGCCAGCAAGAAAGCCTCATAGAATTTACCTTAGTCCCGCTGTCACACTTTTTACCATTAGGTCCGACAGAGCCGACACTGACTGAAGGTGACCATTAGCTCTCCGCCACAGCGCTTCGTACTGCTCTCCACATATTGCTGTTTATTTTAGCGGTTCAGCAGAAGTTATATGTAATTTCTTTTCTATATGTAGGTTCTTATATAAGTTACCTTTTATAATCAGTTAGTTAGGTAAGTTCTACTGCTATTCTGCTAGCTGTGTCATCACTAACCGCAATTGACGCCGCTGCGCACACGATGAGGGACAAATAGAACGTAGAAATAAGATGTGAAACGCTAGCTCTGTCAGAAAGTGACTTTACGTTGTTTTTATAACTGGTACAGCTGCTTTCGATCGTTTTGCATGGACGCAAATTGTGTTTGCCGTGATCCGTATCGTGATTAGGGCTCCTACCGTGTTTGTACGCCTCCTGTAATGTCTACTTAGGTTTTCTATTTCTACGATCTTATGCTTAGCTGATCAAAGCTTGACACGCAGATAGGCGTTATGTTGCAATTAGAGAACAGACGAATAGTTAAAGCGATAAAGGGCGCAAGAGGGAAACAGAAAAATGAATGCAGCACATAAAATAGACGGCTAACTATAGCGACATATTTTATAGGCAAGAAAATAGCGAAGTCGTTCCAAATTTGCAAAACTATGAGATTATGCTAAACAATGTCCCATGCTAGTAGCAAGTTTTGTTGTTTTCTCCAAGACTGGTAAAGGCGAAAGCTTAAAATGGACGAGGTTACGCCTATAGCGTCATGGAAAGGCGGCCTAAATTGACCTATCGTGGTGTTAAATCAGCATGCTGTGCCTGTTGTATTATATAACCGGTTCTTCTCGAAGAGACGACCCTTGTTGTTGCTTGACCTTACTCAAATCTGTTCTGTTTCATTATTGCTGTTTAATCATATCGTTGGAAAAGTTTGTTTTGTTTGTGTTTGAAAGTTATATTGCTAAATAGAAGAAACACTCACAATATAGCCAATAGTTAATTTATTGTTGATATAATGCTACTAATTAATAAATAAACACCCTTACGCGACCATAGATGCGTTCTTGAAACCGTTACAAATATTTGATTTTGATGAGAGTAATTTAAACAGTTACGAAAATTAATTTTATTTCCAAAAATGCCGATTGTGACTTACTGTGTTATTATCGTACTATAGCAACATAATGGATTCACTAAATCATACGTCAATGAAGTACTCTAATTCAACAACATATGATTCGTAATACTTAATACAAATCTATTTAAATTTATGCAGCGTTATGCAAGGTATGTAATATTTTACCGCTGCATAAATTGAATAATACATTACTATAGTTATCATCTACCTTCCATTTAATACAATCCAGTATATTTTGTCCTATTTATACCGTAGGCACTACGATCTTTGAAAGACGAGCTTGCGAAGGACGGTACTGCTCTGGCATTCACTGCCCTAAATTCGTCTGTAAGCAAAGCGGTCTCTGCCGCTCTTGGCGAAAACTTTCGGTACTTTTCTTCATATAAAGAAATTGAGGACTTCGCTGGCAAGTATTGTTTACTCTGTTTCATTTAGATCAACTATTGCCAATCTGATAAACTGATCGTTATTAGCGGCAGGCATCATTAATTTAGAACTTAATGTAGCTTGATATTTATTGCCACGTATCCCTTTCTTTTTTTTTCTCTCTAAATACTGTTGATTATCCTTCCTTGTTAATTGCATTATATTTATTCCGGCCATTTTTTATCCGACCCTTTGTCAATTTTATTCACTGTTAATTTCGCATTTCATGTGTTTATATACGACAAAAAATCTCACCCCATCATTACATAGCCCAGTAGTAAAATAGGCAAAATCTTTGACGGTAAACCGTAACTGTTCGTGGCCTCAAAACCATGCAGCTCATTCAATGTCTTTTGCTAATCTGTTTGCGAGACGCTACCGCTGCGGAGGCATTGTTTCGATCCACTTTTCAGTCGTATGAGAGTAGCCATTTACGTTCTGTATAAGCTAGAAGATATATGAACGGTGAGCAGCGGAAAAATAGTAGTTTCGACGCATGCAAACTGCGTCGCAAAGTCCGTAGCAATAGTGGCGGCCCCAAAAAGCGCGAGTCTGTTCTGAGATCTGCCGGTTTGCCTGTTCATCAGTTTTTGCCGTTCTGGCGAACGCCCGTTGTTACTGTTCGCATTGCCGCTATGGGGCCATGTGCGTGATTGGTTAGCTGTCGGCAAGGCACCGACAAAACTGCCCTTGGTTCCAGGGCAACAACCGGCTAAAGGAAATCAGCGGGCAGCACAAGTCGGACTTACTTCATCAGCAGTGACGACAGAGTTTTTAGTCTGTGCATCGTAATGAAGGGAGGGTGTACAGTGCAAGGAGCGCACCAACGAATCACTAGCGGCCAGATGGATACACGGCCAGATCGAGTAATTGTTGCTTTCCCAATGTTATTGTTGTCTTTTTTTAACAATCTATAATCCAACACAACAACGGCAGCGATGAGGAAGCAATACGAAAACCAACTGAAATCGGCCATATACGTCAAAATAAACAACGGGGTTCACTTTACTTGCTTGTGTTCGTGAGTTGGAGTATCAGCCGCAGGTCATCCATGCGTCGTTAACCGTAATGTCTCTATCATTTAGCTGTATCTGCTATAGCCGTCAGAATACAAATGGCCTGGAATGGTCTAGTCAAATGTAGCGGAGCAGATGTTTCTTCACTCAAACATGAAATTGTTATTCGATCGTGAAATCAGGTCAAGAAGGCGGACGGAAGTAGACCGCATTAGAGACTACTCAGGCCAGATGCGCTTTACAGAGACGGAACGCAACGACCAGCCAAGACATGAGCTTTCCCTTCTTCTTCTGCAAGTTTAGTCATGATGCATTATAGAGTTAACGTACGCTGACTTGAATATACATACACACTATATATATCGCATTGTTAATGAGCTTTGTTCAGTTAGTTCTAACGAATGGCAGCTATTCAGATGATTAGATAGACAAGATCACTGATAGCTAGCGGTGTATAACGAATCGTTAATGTCCACCTTAAATGTATCTATTTCAGGAAATTTAGGTGTTACCAAAGTGGGCGCTCCCGAGGACATTTAATCAACTTTCGACGCACCTTCGTATTTACTCGAGCCGGGAGGCAGTTCACTATTTCAGCTATTTAGATAGAAGCTGCTGCTTTAAATCAGAGCAAGCTAATAAGCAAAATCAAAGCAGCTCATTGAATCTGAATAAAAATACTTACACACAAACAGACATACACAAATGATATATATTTTTTTCGCTGTATGGAACAAAAAGCAATTTTTCTAAATAAACAACTTAATATTGTCTATTAGAAATATTTTCTTGTTGTTTTATTAGTGTATATTTATATATAATCCTGTATACGCTGTTGATCAAAGATCGGCAAAGTATTACGAGTAGCACTTTTATACTCGCACACCCGAACGCGGGTCGTGTTCTGCATCCGCTCTGCGTTTGAAATGCTGCATTTCTCGCAGTTGCCATCAGAATCGCATCCTCGCTACAATCGCACCCAGCTGGTCATCTTCTTCAGGTCTATCTAGGGGAAAAATTACATAATTTTTTTCCAATTATATCTGTTCTTTATATATATGAGCTTTTTGCCCACTGCTGCATAATTACGAGGTTGCTGGTTTTACGTTATTGTAGAAGCCGATGAATTCGATTAAATTATAGCGCGTAACGGCAGTTCGAGAACGTAAGAGTTTTGAAAAGGAAGGCCCAGAATAGTAGAAGGTGGATTAGAATATAAGTAAGCCGCTAAATGTTCAACGTATTTTTATTTGTCTCAGAATACGAAATTCAGAATACACACCTGTTATAGTTTTCTTACAATCTTACAATTCATACATTGGCACAAAGCTTCAGTAGGCAATAAGCGCAAAGTATTTTCAGATTGCTTGCATGGTTGGCGAAGCCTTTACCCTCGTGTAAAAGAATATAGTTACTTCTATATTTATTTGTATTCCTTATTCGCTACTATCTGACCTACAGCTAGCAAAAGCCACCATAGAGACAATTAATAAATATGACGAAACTGGTGTTTGAGCAGAGCCTTCATGTATGCTGGAAACTGGATTTTGGCTTTCGATCCTTAAAAGACAACTCCCAATAATCGTGAAATAATATTTCTCAATCAATTATCAGATCATTGTTGCGTCCTGACGTGTACTATGCTTCACTAACCTTCATACCGAGCACAAAAACTTATGTCAGTTCTAAAACAATGTCGTTCCCAGACAAGAATATATGCACAAAACCATCCATGGCGTAAAAAATAATCGAAGCCCGCCAGATGTAAAGTGACAATTACTATTATTGCTATAAGTGAACGTCATTACTTTTGTTACAATTAAATCACCGTTGTTGCAAATGGAAGGAAGACTTGGATCACAGTTCTGCCTCCAAATTCGTTTTCACCCTGTTTTGTTGGCAGTTTGACGCTCCTTCCATCGTTACATCAGCTGAAAATATTTTGCTGTACCATTACACTAGCAGATATTTATATTCTCTCCAAACGGTTATTAAGTCTCAATATCAATAATCAATACAAAATATTATTATTTTATTGTTACCAAAACGGCAGCGCTAGCCCCTATATATTAGAAATGACTCTCTATTCGTGCAAAATAATAATACAAACATTTTATTCAACGTACTTCTGCACTACTAGCTTTACAAAGTTGGCTATATGTTGAAATTCGCTCGAATTTTTTATATCTTGTGGATGATGTCGAGCCGATTCAATCGCAAGAAGAGGATCTCAGGTTGCATCATGTCATGCATAGTTAAGTCTCTGTTCATCTATTTGCACTATAATATAACACAAGAAGGCTCCAAATTTGGTCAGTATTTGAAGCTGTATGATTAAATAGTTCATGCCATTGTATTCTACCTTTTCTGGCTGTAATAAAAATTAGAGGCTTGTTAACTCCGACTGGTTCCTCTTAGTGATATTCTGCAGGGACTTGCCTTGACATTCATATCAATCATGCGTCTATCATAATCATTACCAAGAGTCGGAGCTGTCTTACAGTGGAGCGGAATACGTGGAAAAAAAGCTATATTTTAATGAACTTTGATATGTTGTGACATGTCGAAAGAATCCTATAAAAGCACAGACTCCGAATGAACTCGAATTTGAGGCCAACATAACTTAGGACTCCCTCCCCCCTTTGCTCGTGTATTTGAGGAGTTATAAGTACCTAACAATTCGACTATGAATACAAAATAGCCTTAGAAACAGACCGAGAATGTTCGCTTGCCGACTATTCGCGTAACCAGTACAACAAAACCATACTTGATAGTCGTTGAATTCTTCAAAAGATGATAAGTCAAGTATCTTCTTACATGAAGTAGAGGAAGGATGGAAATCTCAAGTGATTTCAAGGTTCATCCTGATCTATGAGGACCCCTTCTGCGCCGTAGCACTCGCTACATTCGTAATGCCCTGACCAAGAGCCTTTTCCTTTCACTGTCTATTCAAAAATATCTTTAATAGTATATCCGTCAACGAGATGCTAAAAATGAAAGACCTGATTTTGGCTTGGATAGCGCACACACAACGTTATACAAAATCATGTATGTACAAACGTATTAACGCACATTTATTCATATCGCTATGTATAGAGACGACCATTCTTTTACGTTTGTCGTTCTTTGACACGTTTAATAGACCACACTGGCTGGTTTGATCAACTACGCTGACGCAGCAACGTGTTAGGGTACGAGTCGTTTGGATAAGTATTCATTCCATTTTTAATGAAGACTCAACATAGCTTCAACTCGTTAAAAACGCAATATCCATAAAGGCAGAAACCAAGAAGCCATAAAGTTATAACAAGGACTTTAGTGTTCACGATAGAAAGTGTTCTTGGATGCCAGGTTGAATTTTCATTGGCACCTTCCACACAACTGCTATCGACTTGATAAAAGGGATATTGATATCGAATGAAAATACTAAAATTACGTGTAGGAAGAGGCGGCAACACGCAGTGTCACTCCGTTTACGCAATATATCGTTAAAGATAATAACACACAATCGTATCGGTAAAATAAGTTATTACTGTCCAAGTTATGATCATTATTTAGGATGTCCAGGATAGGCATTTAATATATGCACGATGGCGCTTATATGTAAATAGCAGCTTCGGATTTTTACTAAACATTAACATAAAACACTAATCTATATTTAGCATTAAATTAACACTGCACTTGGGAATATGGATGGCTATACGACTGATGGTATTTGCGAAATATGATTATTTTAATGTGTATTCGTAAATTGATAGTGCTTTCCAAATAGCTCAGTACGTTAATAACCGCCCAGTTCGATAAAACTGCATCAAAAGGATATCATTTTGCTATATCCTGACAAAAAAGTTTTGACAGTAATGTAAAATTGTTTTGTCATGCTTGTTATGCTGTGACACGATATCATCGTTGATTATTAATTGGTGTAGTCATAAAGATATTCTCGGCAATGGGTTTTGTCTGACAAAATGTGATTTTTCTAAAATTAAACAAACACTATTTTTCGATGCTATACTCGCGCGGGGCGAAGAGGCAGGAAAGCGATTTTTAGTCAGTTAATTCATTCATGTCATTATCAACTGTAAAAATCTATCGTACTTCTTCAATATGAAGATAAACTGTTTCATTAGTAAATAGAGTGCATGTGTTTTTAATTTGTGTTGTACTGCCAACTAATTTCTTAATTACATTGCTAAGCACAGTCACAAAAACTAAATTACCGTATTAGAGAAATTGTAGTTTTAGCCCTACGATCGGCAAAAATGTAGCATTGGGTGAGCTTATTTTTGGCCTCGTGACAATATTTGCCCTTATTTTTTTCGTGTTACATCGTAACTTGTTCGTGTCAGACCTCCGGAAATCGTACACTGACAACATTCTTATTGTACGTATTTACGCCTAGGTTTCACAATAAAATTGCGGGGCGGACGAAATCGACTTGGTCGATACAACGCATCTCGATCAGTTAGCAGGATTAAGGCTGCTCTAAATGATGCTTGGCAGCGTCCTCGCGTTATGCACAAATAAGGCCTGCAGCTGAAGTGTAGAATCGATTCCTAGCTATGCACGAAATACCTAGTTTATCCTTATATATTTATACACACCGTATTTCATATTTATCTAAACGCTATTTACTTCCCATAATTTTAGACCACTCTGCATAATCGCTTGCCCTTCAAATTTGTTTGGATTTTATTTGTCGCCAGGCTCCATCGACCATCAAGTCCCTAAACAACATTCGTGACTTTATTACATTAGTGCTAAGTCAGCAAATCCTATTCGCGGTTTTGGGGCTAGCCTGTAGCTATAGTGCCTCAAGAAAAGCCTGGACCGCACCAATTAATTTCATAATAATTCGTCGAGAAAACCCGAGAAACATAATGGTTTGGCAACCCTAATATTGGTTAAATAAAGACTGTTTAAGCAAATTCTTCCATCGACCTAAATTTGTTCACCTAACAATCGACCTTAAGTTTATATACCAGATATATTGTTTAACAACAAAGTTCCGACCAGGTACATTTTGTCAATGGCTTGAAACAAAGATGCTCTTCGATAACCTGGCAAAGGCAGCGTGCCATGGAACAATGTCGGGGAGGCTCTGGTGAAGCTGGTTCTGTTGAGTAGGCATCTGGATGAATTGGGACGTTGAGGTCGAGCCGTTTGCGCACGAACGACTTCACCCATCTTTGACTATAGCGAAGCAGAAGTTTTTCTGCCGTTTTCTGCAAGCAAGTAGAAACAGTGAAAGGCTACTATAAGCGACAGGAGCACATTAAACACTTAAAACCAATATGGCGTACTAAACTAGAAGCTAAAAATCGAACATCTAGTTTTGCGGCTGTAACGGTCGAAAAATGTAATACATTAGGCAAACAATGAATGACATGCTGCGGATGGCATGTAGGAACCTATCGATACCTCTTTTTGAGAGAGTCGCTCTGTCACTGAGCCTCGTGTGATAAAAATATTGTCTTCCTGGCCAATATCCATCCGAGATCGAACTACCGGGTTTTCTCTAGCTTCGTTCGCCGTATCGGCTTTCTCCTGCTCTTCTAGCATTGCACAAAGATATTTCTGTCAACAAACATAAAATCAGCGAAATAAAATATTTAACTACGATTACAATAGAAACACAAATCTCAATATTTCGGTCACATTAGGCGCTTTAGCTCTGTCGTAGACACGCTATTTATAATAATATCTATTTATCTTTAATGAAGTTGATAATATATATGGACTGAATGGCCTGTCTTTCTACGCACAAAATGTCTTCCCGCATACTTACGATGCATGGCTCTGTATCAAAATAAAGGAATATGAGATGAACTTTGTGGCAAGAAAGTTTCCCTCTGTCGTCCAGTCCCAGCAGAATCTTGTGTTTAACAAGAATCTGGTTTACATGGGCTATACACCGCTCGAGCATGTGGTATAGCTGTAACTCATGAAAGCGACTTACATATGCTAGTGAAGACAGATAGCATGAGATAAATATACATGAGAAAGTTCGCTCAAATCTTAGTTTCGTTTAGTAAGCATGGGCATTTATGCAGCTCAATGGAGAGAGTGACGATTATAGAATAATAGAGACTGTAACATGTAATTTGAGACTGTAAATTTAATTCTATGCCGAACAGTATTCGAATTAACTTGCGAGTGCGTTAAGGCATATTCCTATAACAAACGCTGTTAGGTTTGGATTTTTTTTTGAGAAATAATGTGGAAAATAGTTTTGTCGAAATACTTACCTTTAGTTTGATATACATAAAAGCAAAAATGCCTACTGCATTAACTATAAGCCAAAATACCCCGCCGCCGAACAACGCTAGTCCTTTTGTGCCTGGTGAAAGGTAAGATCGGATAACAGGTAGAAAGTTAGGTAATCTCTTTTATTTTTAGAACAGCACTGCTTATTTTAGCAGTGCTCCGATATTCGTATCAGCACTATGTCTGTGTATGTTCTACACTATTGTACAAGGAAACATACAGTCAGTAGCACCTTACATGGAGTGAATCGTGAATTGAAAGCAACTGAAAATATTCAGATAAACTCAAATTAACCGATTAAAATAATCTACTACATACGTGCAAATATTTTTTCCAGTGATGTACGTACATGCCAGAGATTCAGTCAACCATCAGATGAACACCTCAGCTAAAAAATCGATATATAACAGATAAATTACTCACCAGAAAATAGCAACGATAGCAATATAACAAATCCCATGAGCATCCACATCAGCAAGATCCGTTTATATAGTATGTTGTAAAGTGTGAAGCGCAGGTCATTTGTTAATATCTGCAGTGCTAGAACGTAATCTTCCACGGTTATCTGAAATAACAATCAGCAGACAATCCAAGCGACGCATCAATAGATTTTCTATTAAAATTCTTGCAAAGCAAGACTGTAGTAGGCAGTAGAAGTAAAAGACGCGCTTTCATGATGGGTGTTTTTCGTTTTTATCGGTACTTGTAGATAATCACCTTGACAAATTTCATATTTTAAAATTTTGGGATTCATCTATTTAGACCTCCTTATTTTTGTCCTTACGCGGAGAAACAGAAATAAAAAAACCCTTTGCCGTCATTACGTATGTGGTCTCTTAGCGTCCATCATCAACTCACTGTTAGATTGGTGTCCATAATTTCCTCTGGTACGAGATTTGGTTTAAATTTCGCCCTAGTAACCCACGCGCAGCTTTTATTCGACGGCAACACGGTACAAATAACGTCTCCATTTACTGAAATTTGCAAAGTACATTCCAAACATATAACACATTGCAGTTCAGTTAGGATATCTACAGAATTTTCGATGCGCAAAAAATAAATTGTGGCACAACGCATAATATTTTTCAAAACTGAACTAAATATGTGAAAATGATACGCCTCGCAGCGAGGTTCACACTCGCCGTCGCCATTTAGATGAAGTCAGCTCATATAATTGTATTGTTATTGTTACTATTGAAAACGTAGCGAATATATACAGGCGTAGCCGTGAAAGAAATTAAGCTCTTTGGGTACGAATCATAAGAACATAGTGGGACCTACAAAATTTGTCCTGCGAATTTCTTCGAGCTGACAAGTTAGGCCACATTGTGCTGCTTCCACTAGGCGGCGGCTCGATTGCCACCGGGCTCCTCGGAGGCGATGGGCGAAGAGCCATTGGTTCGATTCGGATCTCTGTTGAAGCATTATTAAATGAATTCGTTTCCTATGTTGTAATCTCTAATACCCAGTACTGCTTGATGATTTCTGGAGGGAAACCGTAATAATGCCTTTCCATGTAGAAAATAATTTTCATATTTCGTTTCTATTATAAGGACTAACCAAATGTACACGACGTAATATTCAGTGCACGTTGTATAAAAGAAGAAAGTTCCAAGAGATTGAAAAGATACGTGCAAAGGAATATATAGTTATACAGGAGATGTGTAATGTTTTTCTTTTTTTCCTAATTTCTTTAAATTAATCAAATGGATATTGCGTCATCAGGTAAGCTTTGTATCCAATATCGTTTATGTAAACGAAGCAAAATCTACGCTGATTTTTGATGGCATGCTTTAATATTATGTATTCACAATGAACTAACTTCGTGAAGTAATAGGCGTAACTGGATTATAAACTCTCAGTCTTATGATTTCGGTAATTGTCCATAAAAAAAGCATTTTTAACTGGCTTTACATCATCTACTTTTTAAGATTACAGTCAAATTACTTCACAAAATGAAACATCCGCAAGTTTAACTAGCGCTGCGAGTTCCACCCGCTTCAACTCAAAAGAAATGCAACGGATCCGAACAAATCGTATTTCTTAGCAAATTAGCATATACAAGGAAACAAAAAGCCCTTATATCTTATTTGTAGATACATAAACATACACTTGCACACACCTGACTGATCTTTCTGTTGCAGATTTGCATTATTTTTTGCTTGCTCCGACGTTCCGCTGCTAGTCGTTCCCCATTTAGCATCTTTGATGATTGCCTGCTGTTGCAAGGCTTTGGTAGCCACGACCTCTATTGAGCTGGGCTGTATCGTTGCTGCGCCTTCGCTGCCGTCGTCCTCCTCAAATCTAACCCATGTTGTATCCTTTTTGTTTCTGGCTATACGTACTTTCGACTCGCCTATGCTTTGCGCTGGTGGCTGTTCAATCCAGTGCCTCTTAAGGTTGTCTTGATCGAGTGCACGGTCGTTCTCGAGGCTAGTCACTCCGGTAGACATGCCCGGGTTTTCTGTGCCACCAGATTCTGACATCATCTGGAAGAATGGCGTTGTTAAATGGCAAATACGTGAAATATCCTGCATTGTTGCTACCAAGAAAAAACAAATATCTATGGAAATTTGCTAGCTATACTCAAGTGAAGACATTATTTAGGAGAATTAGATAAATGAATGTATAAAAAGGCCTATATCTATTTTACTGTTAACAATATATTATTAATCTACAGAAAGCAGTGATTCTTAATAAGCCAAATAGGGTACAGTCCAAGGATACCGTTATCCTTATAAGCAATAGCAATATTTCGTACACGGAAAGCTCTAACCTCAACGGCAGGGAGGCCGCTTAAGCTTTTGGCAGAAGGTAGAGTCCTACTTATTAACAGTAAATATCTGAAACCCCAAGTACTTTGAATATTATTTGCAAATGTATGCGTGATGCGGCGATATTATGAGCTCAATTTATCTGAAGAGATCACGGAATTTTCACGGAGGGGGCAAGCGAACTTGAGACTTCCCGCAGCTTAACTACCTCGCCGTAGTCGTAAATATAAGCTCGTCTCTTATAGCCCGTTTATAACACAACCCACTGATTCTCGATGGTACTTTAGAAACTTACTCTATACATTGCGCCATCAAGGCGAGGGACAATACGTAATCTTAAACTTTTTTACCGCCGCATTTGTAGGCACACGCAGCTGAACATCTCCGTACATTACGCTCGTTGGAACACCTTCTTCACTGCAGAAAATAACCATAATATTGAAAGAAAGGCGGGGACCAACAAGCAAAGTTCAACGAAGATATATTTGAGGAGCATAGCAAAATATAATGTGATGGGTCTCATAATGAATCCCCTAACCATCGTAAGTGTGTTAATGATTACGTTCATGGCTCTTTCGCTGACCTCTAGAATATAACCTGTCTCGACCTTGTTTAGGATACACGCCCTATATAATCATTTCGGTAGCGTCTTCGTATTTAACAAATATTGACTGCTACAGAATGGACTTAGAAGAGAAAATATTGCAAGTCACGAACGTGCCTACGAGAGCATAACAATTAACTGAAATTAAAATGCCAATTAGTAAACACAAAGATACGATCCTGCAGCGATTTCCTTCAGCAGAGTTAGTAGGTCAATATGCAAGCGCGTGTGTGCGTGTCTGCCTTTGCTCTACTGAAACGTAAAAACGTACGAAGACATTTCGGCTAAATATACGTTTCTATATTCAGAGTAGTAGATTTACGTTCGAATAAAATGTTGATTCCACGAAAATTCGCGATAAAGCTTTCATACCTAGACTTGAACAACGATTAACATATGCGAACGATCATATTTATGTAATGTGTGGAAGCCCCATTTTTTAAACGATTCATATTATTAGATACGATTGAGTTTTGTCAAACTGATCACTTGGAGCACTCGAACAAACTAATATTCGTGAACCGGTAGATGTAAGACACTCCAAGTCTTGACCGACTTTTCATATTTATATTGTACTTTTTGAGTCACCGTGTTTAATATAGAAAAAAAATGGAGGAGTCAGGCCGTAATACAGTATATCACAGATAGAACCAGATATATGAATAATATCATTGTGATCACATTATGGAAGACGACGTTGTGCTAAAATAGTGGCCATATGCATAGCTCATATTGAGCGCCATTTACCTATCATCGTTTACCTAGGGAACTACTCTAAGTATATGAAATAATGCTTCCAGACCTTTAAACGTACAAATCAAAAGCAGCCATTTGGTGTATCTAGATCTCCTTATCGAAGTGGATATGCTAGAGTTTCAAGCAATAATGTGCAGAAACATTTAAGGGTTGTAGTAGATTAAAATTGCTACCAAAAGACTTTTATCTTTGGTTACAGCTTCTGTGCTTTGGACTAGTATTATTGTTACTACTATTGTTATCAAGTTTAAAATTTACTCAGAATACTCATAGTACGGATACGGGCTAGTTAACGTTGAACTGAGTTCGACTTTTGATGGTGGTAAAATTATAATTTCTTTATCATGTATCGACTAAGAGTCGAACTATTTTGAACTTCCGACTGAGCGATATAACACCAGAACAAAGCTATGCCTTGGAGTCTATGTAACTGCAACTACTTGCAACTCTCGTTTCCTGCTGTAAGAGATAATTGTATGCTAGCCAGACCAGTCATCAATAATGATTACTGCGTATGATGATATATTGCTTACGAAGCAGCTCGGTAAGAATTTTTCTTTCATGACTCATCGTTAATTACAATTGTTTTTATATTACCGACGTTTAGTTGCTTGCTTTTGTTCAGTTAATTTAGCACTTGTTCTTCATTCACGTGGTAGCGTTTCCACTACAAGATGTTTCGGATAAGATGCTTGACGTGTGTCCCGGTTAGTGTTCACGACGATATTTGATTGTACTCAGACATTCAGACGGAAATGAGTTTAAGGGACGTGAATTGATGCCAAATTGATACGCTAAACATTTCGCATGATGGAATGACACCTGTATTCCATTCAACAATTTATAGGTTAGTCACTGTAGTTATTACACCTGCCTTCAGTTTAGCCAGCTAACCCTCATATAACAGTCCAGTTGTAATTGTTAGTTGAGCCACGTTTACATTTTATTACAACGATACTTGTCACCGTAATCGACAGGCCAGGTTATAGGCACGAATGCAATAGGCGCAAGCGCGTCTCATCTTTAGCATGCATTCCTAGCGACATTTCTGTTGCTCGTCGGCAACTTATGTTTTTCGATCTCTCTAGTAAATGTAGTAAACATATCTAGTAGACAATCAAAGCAAGCCAAATGTATTACCACATATTTAAACGCTCTACTGCCTTCCTTAAAAAAACAGGTAAAAGAACAGGAAAAAATGATATATATATATATATATATATAGACTCGTTTTTGAACATCCTACTTATTCATTCATTGATCCTTAATATACTGAACGACTGACAAATAGCGTTGGCAATATTTAGTTCGACTGGTATTTCATTTATATCTGTTGTCAGTCTTAGATTAGGGATTAAAAATACTCATCGATTTAAATGAAAACTCGATCGTCAGTTAGAACTTTAACTAGGTGACCGAAACGCTCCACAGAAATAGACTATTCGTGGCGCTTAAGGTAATACAGTCCAGACCATAGACTTATGGAAAACGAAATTATTGTAGGTAACTTTCCCTCAGAAACGTAAATTCTGCATTACCTTCGGACCAGGAGGATCACGTCTTTCTAATGGTGGTTCATATTAAATAGAAAAAAAACTAGGCTTGATTAATCCGCATGTTTCAACGTGTTTAAACTACTCTGCAATGTTGTGCCGATGACAGCATGCCCTTTTAAGTGCATATAGCACCTACAATACCAACATAAACGATCCGATGCTCGTAGTTGTTAAAGAGAGTAGCGCAGTTATTATTTGGCACAGCATAACATCTTTAATCTAATTTATGCTGAGTTAAATGCGGTTGTGACTACTGATCACCAGCGAATACCAGACACCAATCAGTAGAAAATGAAGCTTCAGGATAAATGAAGCGATCGCAAAGAAAGCCTCGTATTCTTTTTATACATGCGTAAATCTAAATCCAAACTAATTTCATACATTCGTCACACCTTGACATTCCAGGGCGGCCTTGTTTGGTAATCTGAAGAATATTCTCGTTTCGAAACTGTCCTTTTGCCAGTCGATGGGTCCTCTCCGAGTTCGACAAGCATCCCCACTCTGCATCATCTGATTCTTTTATAGGTCGTGAGCGCCTCCCTACTTCGTAAAGAGTCAAAGAAACAATAAAGATGCGACTCCCGGCAGACTCAGCGGCATGAAGTGTTATCAACCAAGCTTGAGTCAAAAAGATTTACTTAATAATAGACGACAATGCTATCTACAACTCGCCTCGTAATCGGCGCTTATTTATCATTCCCATAGCATGTTGTGCATAGCATTCCCAAACGCTGTTGTGAAACTCAAACAAATATATAATGGTTGTTGTTAATTGTCGGTAATCAGTAAAAACCGCCTAAATAGATATGCACCACATTCAGCATTACCTCGAATCGCTTTTGCGCCAAGAGTAAAACACCCGTAAATCAAGGCTGTCTCTTCCACGCTGTTGTTGCTGATACCCAAGTTTGCTACTATGATTTGGCCATAATCTATATCGACAAAAATGTCATCCAACACAATATTGCATGTAGAGCAAGTTAGTGTACATCTGGGTGGAGTAATCAGACCACCATATCTCGTGAAATAATGATATTTCTATGAGCGAGAAGAGGCCATTAATAAAATTCATATTAAATTTTGCCTGCTTGTCAGAGAACACAAGTCCATGAGAAGTAAAGCGTAAGGCGGACAAAATCTCTAGGTCACAGCATTAACTCTACTGAGACTAGCCCTGCTGAAGTGCCTTTGCAACACAGAACTTCTGGAAGAAAGAAGGGCGCCCAGTTAGTCAATCAACAAAGGCCAGACACATAACTATGACATAATAACAGCGTTTATACGCATGTTGACCCTTCAAATAACTAAATAGCAACATATAAAAGCCCAGGTAATTTAGAATTAGGTGCAGCCACGAAAGACATATATATATATATATATATATGTGTATGTGTGTGTGTAATAACTCCACGCTCCGAATAGTTCATTTAGCAAATATTCATACATGTGGAGTTCTCAAAGTCTGGTGCGCCCAGGAATGGTCGGGTCATTCTGATTTTCGTTAGGGATATAACATAAACAGCCGAGATACAAATTAGAGTGCAACAAGCGGACTTGTAAATGTACCATTTTTTTTATTTGTTACCATTTTCATACCATTATCAAAAAATGTTTTAGGTAAATTAATCCTTATACATACAAATGATCAAGTTATGGAGATTAAGTTTACGAGCATATCGTGCAACTTAAAGTCATTCTGGGAGCAAAATGGATGGTACACATGTCTGATGTTTTGCTTTGAAGTCTTGCATCTTATTTACCTTAATACAGAACTTTGTGATTACCCTAGGAACGATTGTTACATTATTAAGAGGTATATATTAACAGATTTGACTATGTGATAATCACCCCACTACTTCCTACGAAGCAATTAAACAAAATTATTATCTACTTTCTAAAATTTAGCCTATGATGATTCACCAACAAAGAGGTAATAACTGGACACAGAGATCACTGATTTATAACTACGAATGAGTGGTAGGAAGGTTTTCGCGTACAAGAGACACTACAAAAAAGATTGCAGCTGGAAGAGTGCACGGGCTTTACTGTATTCGTCAACCTGATGCGTGGAAAACGATTGTTCTAATAACAAGTTACTTTAGCAGAACTACAGCACAAAACGTGCTCTATCGTACTCTAGGTGCTGATGAATGTAGCACAGTGAACAAGTTCCATCTTAAACTCCATGCAAGAGACTGTAAAAAGCAGTATTCACCAATTTGACATACCAGCAATACAATAATTGTGTATTTGGTTCTGTGCGTTCCCAAATACTCACGATACAACACCAAAATCATAAATCTGATATGCTATAGGCCAACCAACCTTTAATGTTAATAAAAAATGACGGTGTTTGCCGTAGAAACTTCTTACATCCGATCTTCTACCCAGGTAGGAACAGACGGGTGACAGCTGATATTTTTCTGTGTACGGTATTCAGCGCTCCTTAGTTAGCTACCTCACCTTCTGGCATTAAGTAAAATTTTGCCCGATATGACTGATCAGTCGGAATCACGCCACAAGAAATGACTCAATAGGCCACAGTAGCTGGGCGATTCAATGTATCCAGTAGATGAATAAACACTTAACGAAGACTGATGAACTAACGAGACACGTTAAAAACATAGAGATAGCGGCAAATGTTGAAATGTTAAACACACACAGATCCGTATTGATAAAATCGAAAAGCTTATTTACGATATCGCGAAGAATCTAGGGTCGAGGCTGTCATGTTAAATGTTAGTGTCATTGTTGCCTCCCATACACACTCACACCTCTGCACGCACGTACTAACTTGTAGAAGCAGGTACAAGGTGAAGGCGATAGGAACACTTTACCGATTAACTGAGTGGCCGTCCAGACAAAGCACATTCGACAGGGGGCTATTTACATGTTTTGAGCCTGCTTGAAACCGCAGTACAGCATCATTACACAGTTGTCACAATAACGGTGACTACCAGCGACGGCAGCTGATCGCCGGTATCATTGTAACAGCAACGCCAGACAGAGGCTATTCTTCAGACGCAATGGGAGGTGAACGCCATCATGCGTTTCGTAGTTGTGTTCCAAACAGGTTCGGGAGAACCAAAACAGTCCTATAGCTAGCTGCTTCTCAGTATGATCGTTGCACACCTTGAGAGGCGAAAACTGCTGCCGGCTTTTCGATTCCCCCACTGCGCTCGAAATTCTGCCATAAAAACAGCTGTGAACACGCCCACATAGGCGTACAGACAGACTCACAAACAGACGGATACATTCATAGATGGGCACACACTATCTGCAGTGGAACCTCAACGCATCTGCTCCATTTCCGACAGCAGCTGCAGAGAGTGGCACGACCACAATACGTGCCGAGCTGCAGCAGCAAATGTCCCTAAGGTCGCATTGACAAACGTATATTACCGATGATGATACCTATGACAATGTTGATGATGTTGACGATTACGACCAGAAAGAAGTCAGCAACTTCGGGAAACGACAACAGCGCACGCTGTAGTGGTTGCCCAGTCACAAGACACTACGTCGCCACCGTCATCACATCACATCCGATCAGCGTCCGTCACGACTGCGGCTACAGTTGAACCGCCGCCCGTCAGAAGTATGCGTGAAAAAACATTGAAGTGCAGTTGTGTTCTTTTACCGTCACCTCGCGGGGAGAGCGAAGGGACCGACCATTAACCGGGCAGGGCCGCAGGCACCAATGGCAGCAGCACCAGATCGGGCGATGCTATTAGCTAGCCGGCCTGTTGCTGGTCCGTACTTGTTGTTGTTGTTCCTGTAGCTGAACTGAAACGGCGGCGGCGGCGGCGATGGGCACTTCTGCTGAGGCGACTAATGCGGCTTTCGCTCTCGCCCTATTTACTATTGTTGCTATCGTCGCTGCTACTAATGCTCCGGCCGCCGTCAATGTATTCAACAGACAACCCACGACGGCCACGCACAAGCAGTCGAAGCAAAGCAGATGGAACGGACGACGGAAGACGCACCGCTCCAATGGACCAACAGTTCTGCCGCAGTTGCTGAGTAGTTGTCGCTGACGCTACCGCTGCTGTAGTTGCTGTCGTCACTGTTAGAACACATTGTCATAACTGGTGGCGCGAAATGGCTGGCGTTTGTCGGTTTCAACACGGCGACAACTAACGAACCAACGACGACTAACGAACCAACGACGGGATCGAACGAAGATAGATTGACACCGCTGGTAGCAATGGCCGATCATATTACAACAACCGCTGTAGCCTCGGGAAAGGCGGACCACTTAGCATGGCCTGCCAAAACGTTGCTGTTCGAACAATCAGCAATAGTAGTAATTATAACAGTTATAGCATCTTAGCAGTTTTATTCGTAACACAGTATCTCCTTGACAACGTTATACAGGGGTACTGGACAACGGCGGCACCAGCAGCATCCTTTTCTCATCTCTGATCTCTACTTCGTTTCATATAGGACAAAGTGTACCTCGCGCTAACAGCATTGGCGACCCGATAACACATTGCTACAGGCAGATTGACACACACAAGGGAGGCACATGACGGCGACGCGACTTGCAGTATGGGTAATAGAGCTGCAACGCAATCTTTTGTAGAGGCTCGCGGTAGCTGGCAAGTGGGCCGACAGGCGCGCATGGTCCGCCTGGCAACAACATCAATAACAGAGTTGTAATGGTGCTGCAGTGTGCGCCCTTCTAAAATCTCGGAAAAAATTTTCTTGAAACGGTGGCGTTCCTAACCGTCACAAGGATGAATTCAACACATCGTTGGTCAACGATTTTTGTGCATTTCGTGTTTTTGTTGTTCGAACCCATCATTTAGGGATTGCTGGCAAAAGAACGTTCCATATACATTCTACGCATAAGAAGTAGAACTCCGAGGGTGAGGGCAGATGACAGAGGGCGAGTGAGAGGGCCTCGAAGCACTTCGTCATAAGGCTACACCTGCCAGTAGAAGCAGTAGAGGCGGGTCTGGAAATACACGTTGTATGCCGACGGTCACGTGACAACCATAAGAAGGAGGGTACAAGCAGTTGATTTTGGGTATGTAACGGCTATCGATACCTTTGTCCATATATACATATATATATATATATATATATGGCTTAACACAAGACACACGACGTTTTCAAATTAGATGTTAGAAGCTCAAATTCGTTTGCAATTCTTAAAAATTAAAACTAATTTTAAGATAACTATTCAAAAATCGTTCCAGAGAAGTGTCAAATGTGCGACCTCGCAACATACAAATTATTATTCCCTTAACACATTTAGACTGAAAAGACTGCCCACTATTTGTTTCAGGTGATATACTAGTATCAGTTATTCAAAGATCACATATATCGATGCGTTTCATGAAAAGAGCATGTTTTCATAAAATGAGAGTCAGATGACCAGCATTGTTATTTGCCGAAATGAAGTAGCCTTCGTGAATGACATGCTGATAACATTATTTGGGAAGCATTTTAGCAAAACAGTCCCTACACTGTGTATTGTTAAAACCGAAAATTTACGAAAAGGTACGTTACTAATTTTTTTTTTGTTATAATAAAAAACACTGGATAGTCAAAAACTGTTGAAATAATAACCTGTATGAATTCACAGCATTTTTCCCTGGCCGCTGAGCTGTATCATATTAAGCGCGGACGTTACGAAAATGTAAGAAGGTGCAACAAAAAGAGACGGTTTCCGTTCCAAATTAAAAAAAAAAAACGTTTTTATTTAAAAAAAGTTTACCGACTGGCGGATAATAAATACGTGTCAGAATATACTCAGAAAAAATCAGTTTTTAGCGGTGTAAATAGAATGCTGGCCAAATGGCGTGGATATTATACTAACTATTTATGCTACAGGATAAATTAGACATATACTTCTCCGAATAGTGAAGTCTACAAAAATACTCACGATCTTTAAGCTTGGCTTATAGATTGATGTAGTCCTAATCGCCTTGAAAGAAATATTTCTGCATGTACCACTGATCATGGTTTCTTATTGGATACTAATGAGGCAGCTTCAGAATGATTAACCCCGATTTCATTTGAACGAATGCTGGGTTAGCATTCCTGCCAAAACCCAAAAATATTTGCTATGCGAGTTTAATGCTGGTAGGGCAAAATCGTAGTCGTCTGGTAGAATGGCTAACGGTGATACCAGGTGTGAAAGTCGAAACATAGAGGATAAAATCGTAATTTTTTATGACTTAAATATGTGCTCAGTAAATTTGCGACTTGATACGCGGTGCATTTGCAAGCGTAACCAACAAAATTGTACTGTTCCAGCATCTAGAACACGACGCCTCTGCACCGAAAGCAGGTGTTTCCGGCAAGCCAAAACTTCACACTATCTAACATTTTCAGAATAAAAAAATCTTTAAATCGCATATTTGTGTCACAGTTTTGTAGCGTACCAAAGAAAACTCCATGTCTAGTGGAAGTTCTGCAAATTCAAGTGGTTATTCTGATATTATAGGCCTTTGTTCATTCTACCAAACTAAATCATGCCCGACGTGCTGATGATAGGTAAGCTTGTAGCGGGAGTATTATCATAAGACGGTATTGCATAGATTGCGTGTTGGAGCATGTAAGAAGGTTGCGTGGCGACAACACCTAAGTTGCGAGGCGCTCTAAATACCGAAGTGCAACTAAGAGCAAGCATATAATTGTTCTTACTTATACCCTATGCATACAATTCTAGTAAAACCGTTTAGCCGTGCAGTTAAATACAATAATGCACAAACGACTCATGATCAAAAGAAACCCAGAAATCACGTAATTGGGGTATCTGTGTCTACCTAATCTGCCAGTATCTGCTTCGTACAAAAAACACACAATGCTATTTTTTTTTTTATTCACTGATACCTTAAGATTGCTCAGGATAAACGCAGCCAGAACTATCTTTTACAGACATCTTCCCCGTTTAGATGTGCTCTTGGATTTAGACGTCCTCAAGCACTGGCGGCTCGTAATTGTCTGGCCGGTCTACAGCCATTCCATCAGTACTCTTGCCCCCGCCTGAGGTGCCTTTGCCTTCACCATGCATCTCCAGAAGTTTGCCCATATCAAACTTAGGCTTCTTCAGCACTTTCACCTTGCGGATGTGCACATCGTGAAGCGGATAAATCATAATGCAGTTCTTCTCGATGTCCTTGCCAATCGCCTCGGGAATGAGCTTGTTTACGACCTCTTTCAGGTCGGACGATGAAACCTCACGGTGCATAATCTCAACCATTTTGCGACGGATGGCACGAACTTGCGCATGCTGGGCGTAGCAAGTCTTCTTCACCTGGTTCTGAGCCTTTTTAGTGAAACCGATGCAGAATAGCCGGAGCACGAAACCGTCCGTGGTACGCACGTCAACCTGTGCCTCGATCAGCGTTTGCCACTTTTTTACCATCGAACGCAACTTATCAGTGGTCAGATCCATGCCGTGGAAGTTGGTAAGACAATGACGGCCCTGTACTTCCTCGCAGACCAACCTGCCAATCAACACGCAAAAAAAGAATATCTGGTTATAATATGATAGATTTGAAGAGTTTGTATTACTGTCAAATTTTACGATACAAGATGAAAAGAGGCGCACACAACTTTACTCCTTATTTTTGAACGCAGGGAAAATTTTCCTAAGATTAATTTAGAAAAAAAACGCTGGGTTTTTCTGCAATCGCATTCGAATGCTTTCTTTTTAGCGACTATGCTCAAGTAAACATTCACAAGCACGAACGGATTATTTCCACGAAAGGCGCTCTCAAAACTCGAAACTAAAATAGAGCGACGTCAACTTCCGTGTCACGCCATCAGAACAAAAATCCTACAAGTCGAGATAGGAGTATCTTAATTCTTTTCGATAAACAAATACGTTAAGGCCCTTAAACACGTTCTTAACGCCACGGCCTGTGTACCGTTATAGACCACGCTAAAAAGTGCACTCACTTAAACTTGCGAAAGGCATCTTCACCGGTCTGAAGATCGGCCTGGGAAACCTCGTAGACGCGGCCCTTGAGTCCATCCGAAGCAATCTTCGTGCCCTGTGTACGGTTCACTAGGGTCTTGCCGACATTACGGATGCTAAACATCGACGGTGCCTTTACATCATACCAGTCCTTACGGCTGAACGGATCGACGCTGCAGACAAAGTGGATAACAAAAAATGGAATAGCTTGTTAATAACTGACGAGAAATGCATGAAGGAGATGGCATTCACGAACAGCAAAGGTGAAACAAGCATACCTTACAACAGCCAATATGCGAGTAACAGCTTACAAAGAAATGCAGATAGAGTACATAGAAAAATATAATGTGAAAGCAGTTACATCGCCACTTCTATGGAAAATAATGTTCACGAAAAAGTCCGGCAGATGTCCACGTTTCCAACCGGCGTTCCAATATGTCAGCAACGTGCAGAAATCGGTCAATATAAACTTAGCTTTCGCACACTTCACCAAGACGATTATCCAATGTCATATTAGGCCAGATTCGAGACATGTTATGTAAATCGACACGAAATTCACAAAGATTTTCGATATTTCATGCACGACAGTGGGTTACCATCGCATTTACGTATCCATACAAATCGGCATCACCACATCACAGCTTTGCATTAAAATCTTGTCCAAACGACTCTGAACGATATGGAGAATCTTTCACGGCACATATTAGCCACTTACATCTTTTTTTTAAGGCCTTTTTTGCCTCCCTTCGAAAGTCCCTTGTTCTTGCCGACCGCCATCTTTCAGCTCACACAGGGAAAAGACAGGAACCAGCACCGGATGTTTACGTCTCTTGTCCAATTCGAAACCACCCACATTCGGTTCTGTTTTGAAAGACTCACAAAACTTTTTTCACTCTTCTTTTTGTGGTTTCGCCAGCAGGAACGATGCTGCTCAATAGGTCAAAAGTTAAATCATACGAACATGATTTAGCTCAATAAATGTCGTCAAAACTAGATGAATTTTCACACAAATCGACAACGTTCAGACAAATGCGCGCCAACTTTCAAATCAGACGAATCTAAGTTTTTATGGCCGCCAACCAGCTAACTTTCAATGAACCATCTCTATTTAGTACCGCAACAACTTGTACTAAACATTACGCAAAATTAACGGAGTTTGCATAATGGAAATAAATTAACTTACATGCTCCCGTTGCTCTGATTTCATCCTCTGAGCTATTCTTGCGCCCGCCAGATCACGAGGGCAATAACGGTTTATGATTATTGCCGTGATCCAGTTTGCCGTCCGGTACCCTAAGACTGCTGTTCCGTCTCCCTTTACACTGCTGCGGCTATTTTGTTTTGCCGCCACAGTGCTTCGTCCTTTTCCAAACACTAGGCAGGCGGCCAGCTGATCGCTCGTCGTGGAAAAAAGCACTCACTCATTTCTCGTGTACAGACGTAGGGAAGGCAAAGCAGAAAGAGATTTAGCATAGTGTGAAGAGCGCACTATAACCAGACCCGCCACGAACTAGCCAGTGTTGTAGTCGTTCCTGTGGTGGTAAGATCGCGTTCACTACCTTGCAGCTACAGCAAGTGTTACTTTGATTGTTACTGTTACTTTTAGTAGCAGTCTGACTACTATCACGGCAACTTGTGTGATCATACTGGTCGTGTGGCGTGCACCGATAAAGTGAATACTATCTGTGTATTTGTATACGTGCGACCGTGGCGGTAACAGGAGCTGCTAATAGTGGTGTCATCGCCGCGTTTGTCCCACGACCAAAGGTGCTACTACAACGGCAGGGTGTACGCGCTCGGTGCGGACCAATGATAGTAATAATAACAGGAGTAATTACAATAAAAGCAGGATAATAATAATGTGATAAAAAAATAAACCAAAGAAGAAATTCCGGCCTACTGTCACCTAGTATCGCGTCAAAATAACAGCAGAAGTCTGCAAGTTACATCGTCGGTGACGGACTCCAGCCAAATACCGAGCAGGTGACAGATCGAGTGATTTTGCCTTCGGCCACTCGCGCAGTTACAGCTGCCTTGGTTTGCCAGCAGATCTGTACATTTTGTCGGCGGCGGTGGCTGCGTTAGAAACGACTGACTAAGCAGCAGCAGCATACGTAGCGACGACAAAATCTCACCAGGCAGTCTCGCCACTTAGAGTACTACCATTTTTAGCTGTAATAATAGAAACAAGCCAAAGCAACAGCAGACGTATTAACACGAGGTCAACAATAAATTGTCGCCAATGACGACATTGGCGACTTCGACAACATCCCTCTTTCTTCACCTCATCATAGCTTTTCGTTGCCTTTGCCGTGGCCGCGAATAGCAGTAGATCGTCTACAATCGAGGGAGATGGTAAAGGAATACTGAGAGCAAGAGTGGATCGGCGATTCGGTCACTATGGCGGTTTGAGCGCCAGCTATTCTCGCCGTCGTTGTCCGGAAGCTAGAAGAGATTGGGTAATATAGTGGATGATAGTAGCAAGTATCCACTGGTGGTCGCGGCTATGGTGAAACTGTTGCTGCTGAAAGTACAAGTTGCAATCAACGAACAGCGTGTTCTTTCGCTATCACTGTTTACTTCGTTGTGATTTGTACGCTCAGCTTTCGTCGGATCGAGTAAATGTTATTATTGTTGCGCAGATCTGTTCCAGCGTCGGCGCTCAAATGACAGAGTGAGTAACAGATAGCATCGTACAGTACTTATATGCCTGTAACAGAATAGAATACAATCGACGGGGACACACAATGAGTACATGTACCTTACAGAAGTAGGACGGTCGCTGACGCTCTGTGCTGCAGGTATATGTCTGGATGTTTTTCTATGTGTGCCCCAGGGTTACGCAGCTATGCCTTCGTAGAAATCCGTTTATTAGCCTAGCTTATCTAGAATGCTGGAACGGAGATGCGCGTAGATGTGAAAACAAACGAGAACTGCAGTTTTATGGGAGTACTTATCCACCCCATTCAGTCTCCGCAGATGGCAAGGCTGGAGGCGGATGATATGACAGATGCATTGATTTGCCTTAAGCTTCTGGTTATGCTAAATATCAACGGCTGGTTTTATGGTACCTGCGCGAACTCTGGCAAGATAGAAATAATTGAAATATCCAAACTGTACATAGAGATGCAAAAGAGGGTCACTATTTAATTTTCTGGCGTTATCCTTATTAATACGAATTGCAGAGTTCTCAATCATGCGTTCATTGACTTGACTTGCTGACACACATGTGAATTTTGAGAGACTGTTTGCCTGCAGCTGACACTTTACAGTAGTAAGCATTGTATAAAATGCCCTGCTATCATCTGTTACCTGTTATTTCCCATTACCGAAAAAAAGAAAAAACGATTATTTTGATGTTTTCTTCACTGCTTGACACCACCGCCTGGTTAATTGATTTTCATTATATATAATGAAAATATATAAGTCACGACGAATATGGCACTCTGCTGTTTTGTACGTCACATCCTGCGTTGTATGGCTAACGTGAGCCGTGGTTTCATGAAGGCTTTGATCAGCACAAACAACAGCGGCAGCAGCAGCTGCCAGCGACGACGAAGAATTAGGTAGCTTTCACATTTCCAACTAAAAAGACCGACTGATTATTATGGCGAAACTGCGCAAAGCATAGCGGTCTTGTGTGTGTGCCGTCTTTCATCGTAAGCAGTGAGTACTTTTCACTCTTGGCCACACAGCGCGAACCTTCTTACGCCACTTTTCGTCGGCAGTGCAACTTTTTTTTTTCGTTTTTTACGATTTTCGCTGCGACAGGTAGGGCAGCCAACTCAGCAATAATTATTATTATTATTACGACTATTATATTTCTATTCAGGGCGCAGCTGTATAGCCATTTTGGTGGTGAGCCTCATGATTGGGTTGGGTTGAATTGGGCCTGCATATCCTTTCCACATCCTTTTTGTTTGGTTTGTTTGTTTTAGTTGTTTTCTGTCGTCGTTAGCTAAAAATTGCGCCTTCGTTGTCTGTATGTATAGTCTAACAAAATTTATTTTTAAACAACAAGAGCGGTAGGACAAGCCGACAATCGAGAAGAATTAGGCTAAAAAAAGGCTGCTGTAGCAGTTTTTAATTCGTCGTACCGAGTATATTAACTATTGCTGTCACTGGTCTGTATGATTCGAAGACAGGTAGATGGCAGTAAAGCATTTTGTGCAAACAATACTGTAAAGTATCAGGTCAGGCGCAGAATCTCGTAGCTTCTATTGCGAAAAATGCAGGTGGTTCGGAAACCTTTATCTTTATTAGGCTATTAGAAAGGGTATGTTTAATTCAAATGTGCTTCGACAATGTAATTAATATGGCTTTATTTATCGTATCTTTATATGACAGTATGTTGGGCACGTGGTAGATAGCCGCTATCACAAAGTCAAGCCTTGCTCGAAGTTCGCAACTGGATAAACTAATAATGTGTATATGTACATTTCCAATCAGAACGTCGGCCAAAAGTTTTCAAACAATTCAATTAGCCATTTGCGAAACTGGCCTTGGCAGGGAAAGTGTTGGTAAGCGACGACGGAATTAATTTCGGCCTCACCGAGCAAACCGACTTGTGACACTAAGAAATCTGTTTGAGTTATTAAGCGTGGGCCGTAGCTAACTGAAGTCATTATGTACGCATGCGCGTCATTAACCAGTTTAATTGAAAATTCGTTATTTAATTAAAATTAGTGTAATATCGAAAAAGGAGCCAAAACTAGCAGGTTTTCCATAGTTAAATTTAAACTTACTCAAACTTAAATTTACATCTTTCATTGGAAGCTAAGGTGGTGAGTTACTTTTCGATTAGCCAGCTAAAAATTATTACTATTCTATGCGAAATTTGTCACTATTATCAAAATATTTATAATTCCTTAGGTGGTTAATGGGCATTACGATTTTAGAGGGGCTGAAAGAGCTAGCCAAAGTCGTCATGCATAAGGCATTTCGGGTAGCGCAGTTAGTTGTCCGTTGTTTATATTAGAATGGTATTAACCTTCGTTTCACCGTTTCCTGCAATGAATGGCCAAACCATTGCAATTTAGTTGGACATTTATGCCTCCTCAGGCTTTGACTGACATATGGTTGTAAATATTGGCGTGAGCGCTTAGAAATCTCCCAAGCGCCGTTTCCGCTTAGAGCAATATTGACATCTTTAACTGTTGGTTACTCTGCCAAGCTGGCCAAAAACAGTAAATGGGCAAATAAGTCGTTTTGAGTGAAAATACTGGAATTGTGTAACCAAAGCAACTATTAAAAAGTAATTCCTGATAGGCCAATAAAAATCGTAGCTTAACTGATCTCTTCAGTTTCTCTCTTTATGTAGAATGTTTTCTTGCAGAAAAGCCGACATTCACTTGGGCTGAAATAAAAAAAAAATCGACGTCTTTATATAAAGAATAGCTTGTAAAGTTATTTTCTTTGCAGCGAAACATCTAGTCCAATTGAACCGCATTTCTAAAGTAAGTTCGACTTATTTCGCCTTTGTAGTGTTTGAGATACCAGCTTGTATTGAAACGAACTTCGGCTATTTTGCACGTAAAACCCCCCAAACTTGCCCATCATTACTGTCCTTATAACCACTTAAAGCGTTTATATTGCAAGTTTTTCGGTGCACATTGTGTGATTGCCGAAGACTACAAAGTGTAACTCAATTCATGAAAATAGTTTCATTGAAAACCGTAAAATTGCCTATGTTTGCTGTTGCCTTAATCATCTCTTAGAAGTGTTTATAATGCGACTTTCTCAGAGATGATTTTGACAGATTGTCGAGCTTATCAAGGAAAGCCAGGAACTTGTATTACCTCAAAATCGATAACAACTAACTTCGTCCATTTTCTATAGGAGGCTTTGAGATATATTTATCTGAGCAGAGGCTTACTCAAGAATTTTATATTTTTGGAAATAAAAGATAGACGGAATATTTAATCTAAGAAATGAATCGGGTGTATAGCTTTGAATAACGTTCGGTCTGGTCTCGGCGTAGCATATATTTTTCAAGTTCGTCGTCGGACGTGTGCAAATATATAAGTATATACATATATATATATATATATATATATATATATAAGTATATAACTTAATAGAGATCTGAAAAAAATTGTAGGTTGGTTGTGGAAACAATGACACTATCATGGAGACGCCTCAAAGTACTGTCTTTTGTCCTTGAGTGAAACTTCGCACAGATTTAGCAAAGCACTTCACTAGATCTGTACAGTTTAAGTATATATAAATGTTCTGCACTTGTATCTCGACAACATCGCCCTAAAAAATAGACCAGGCTCAGACTGACATTATCAGTCGATCCGTAAAGGGCTTTTACATTTCAGAAGCTCTCCTTTAAATAGCCATAAATGCTCTCCGTCAGACTTTGCCATTCGTTTAACTACGGCTCCCCTGGAAGCTGATTCGCTTGAGCAGTCCATCTGTGTGCGTCGAAGCGTGTGAGGGTTTGCTGTGTGACTCAAGGTCACGAAATTGAATTGTTGACCTTGAATTCGCCCAGTCTGAAAACAAAATCGCCAAGCGATTGGGATAGAAAGAAGTAAGCCTGTACCCATCTCCATAGTGGCATCCGCGACAGGCACAAGCCGGCTTCGAGTTGTCCTTCATTGTAGTTAACTGTTAGCTGTTGTCGACAGCAAGTATAGCTATAGACTTGTCGGGAAAACCGCTTTTTATTTCGGATGACGGCTTGGTGAGAGCCAGTTGATGGAATTTGGGTGGATTATGTCCAGTGTACACGGACGGGGGCCGGAGGAACGTAGGGAACTTCTTTTTTTTTGACCCATCGTCGCGATGATCATTGAAGGAAATAACACGGCGTATAAATTGGGACAAATAACAAACGTAGTCGTGCAGCCCATCTTCAAAACCGATAATAATAATAATAACAATCCTTGTTTTTTAGTTTGCTCCAGTTACTCCAGTACTTATTAATGCTATTTTAAAATCATCGCATGGGGTTTTAGAAAATTAGATGTCACCTCTCTTTTCGAAAAAAAAAGGACTAGTTCGAGAGTATTGGCAACGTCAAATAGTTTTCGGTTACAATAAACTAAAATTAAATCATATAATACGTTGATGAACAATATAATTATTCTATTTTTATCAGCAAAGTGAAAGCTAATGTTTTACAATTTTTACTTCGGGATCTCTGTTGCAAATTCGTATTTTCACGTTCTTAATGTTGTGGAATCCCGTTATCCAGCTGTGCGGTCATTTCGGGTAGTCGCGTGTAGGCACAGTAAATATGATTTGCGAGATAATGCTATATACGTAACAATTCAGTGAAAAGTGAATTTGTTTTTCGATGGATGGGACAAAGGAGGTCCTGCGATGCTCGTTTTGTGAAGGCAAGTGACTTATTTGCTTATAATGCTTGGATCGAACCGTTTCAGTAAACGCAGCTAAAAACCGCCGTAATTTTTAGTAGCTTCAATACCCGTCATTCAAAATAAGCTTATGGGCAAAAGTAGTGACTCCCTTATAGGAATGCGCGGCGATTATTTTATAGGCCGTAGCATTCTAGCTAAGTACATTTTCACCGAAACGAGTTAGATACGTTCACGGAAATATTTTCATGTGCGTTGAAATTTTTGTTAAATGAATATGTTTTTATAGTAGGTCCATCATGAAGAAGACCAAGTTAGTACAGCGTAGTAGTAGCGAATTACTGCTAGGGCACAGGAGGACGCGAGATGAGCAACTTTGCAAATGGCCGACGTTTCGCTGAACGTGTTTATTGAGCATCTGTTTAAAGAACGAATTCATTTTTTTCCAGTAGCCAGTGCTTGGATAAACAGAAGCTTTTGCTGGCAAACAATCTTAATCAAAAATAATGTACGAGGCACAACAACATCAATTCGCAGCAGATTTGCTATTGTTTTTATTTTTTATTTTATTTATTGTAGACACACTTCTAACTTAATTGTTTGATCATGCCAAATTTTTGTTAACAAACGGTTATATCTAAAATTACGGTTGATTACTAAGTATAACAAGGAGAATGGTGTCAGTTTTTTTCCTTAAGTACTATCAACGATATCATATCAGTCAAATAATAGAAAAATGTATCTGAGTCGCGTTTAACGTGAGACAATAGCTTTGTTGAGCTTTCGCTAATAAAACAAAAAGTTCGCTCTGCCACTTTCGATTACGATAATAGACAGTTGATTAATTCTGCATGCTTTGCAATCGAATTAAACTAGAAAATGCCAAGAATTTGGCACGAGAAGGCTATATCGAAAAAACATGAGAAGAAGAAGGCTATAACTGCATACACGTTATTCCCAATAGAGTTTTTATCAAGAAAGTCTGTCGTTACCTACAAAAGACCCTACAAAAGACATGAGTGCTTGGATGAGTTCATTCATTCTGGCTATTCTCAGATCATTTATTTATGGGATTTACTTATGGGTACTGCATGTACTTCGTTTTGTGGTAAAATGTAGTTTTTATTTATGTAGGCTGCAAGGGCATTACGTACAGGTTCAGTGTTCAATCGCACCAATAAGCGTAGTACTTGAAATCTTTATATGGGTGTACAAAAACGTAAAGATTTAATAAATTTATAATAGTATTTTTTCAAATACCTATTTTTATATCTTACGATACTTGAACAACCATTATTGAGCTATGAGGAAGTTCAATTACGTCATACGAAATTGTTGATGCTTACCTGCTATTTCTAATTAGTGCAAAATAGTTTGGCTGCGCTAGCATAAGTCAGTGTTCTTTGTTACACAAAACGGTATTGAAAAAAAATCAGAAAAAGATCACAATAGTTGTTCAAAGCAGACCCTTTTTTATACAAAAAGGAAGTGTTGGCTTGAATAACTTTTTTTTTAGAACTTTACGTAGACCAGTACGGCTTTTTCAACTAAACTTGGAGGATTTGGCAGTGCATTTGCAATTGCTTGAGTGATAGCACTCTGCGACTTGATCGAAAGATGTACTCTGGTGATAGTAGTTCAGTCTAAGCTCGTACAAAATTGAGCCTCGTGAATAACATTTTCACGGAGATTCCCCTGGTTTTGAAACTTTTTCCTCAAAGTTGTTTTATCTACGTTTCTGAGCCGTTATTATAAAAATTTCGTTCTAAGAATTGTGGTCGTCCAATACGAAGTCAAGTGCAGCATCTTCGATTACGTTAATCTTTAAGCATTGGTCCTTGTTGCTTTTTCGTTAGTTTAATTGGTTCACGTATGGGTTCACGAATGATCCATCGTGTTCTTTATTGTCCAATATTTTTTCAAACTTATAACTCGAAGTTTTCGTGTTTGTACTGCCCGATTGTTGTTGTTGCTATCGCTCAACAGCCGACTGTTGATCTACTGCTCTCTGTTGGCGTTCGTGCTGCTCCTGTCGCTAAAGTGGGATGGATACGTTGATGCCGACTACTGGCTTGTGTTCAGTCCACTTTGGCTATGGAAACTTGTCGCAGTCTCGTCTACCCTGGCCGCCTCGTACCTTTGGCACCGCCAGCCGCAGTATCGGATGGATCAAGAGGCCCTACTCGAGTATAAAGCGATGATGATGTGCGTGTCTCTCCACCTACTTCTTCTCGTCTTTGAAGTCCTGCTCTGCGACAACCTCGAAACGCCAGCAAGGTATTAGGAAAAGAGCGAGCACAACGAACATGTATGTGTAATAGACAGCAAAAACACAAAAAAAAGTTCATCGTTACTTACGAACACCGTAATGGAAATATTAAAATCACTGGAAGCACTGGATTGAATCGTTGGGTAAATTATTGATACATTAATTGACTACTAGGGATCGTCACCTGTGGACAGTGGTTTGCATCCCGTTGCTTGCGCTTTGCCTTCTCGCCATCGTCGTATGCATTTGGTCTGTCAAACATGACCGGCCCTTTGAGGTAAGGTATTTTGATTCATACCGTTAAATCATATTGATGTCCGATAAATAATAAAGTAACATTACTACTGCCTTTATACTGTAGATTTGCTAAGTGAAAATAAGGCAATTGTGGTAAACAAAACATGCTGGCAATAATTAAGCAGAAATAATACTATATTTTAAGCACATTTTATATCCGTAATAGGCGATAACAAAGAAATAGATATATTACAATAGTAAGAAACTTCCTCGTGGAGAGACTCGAAATAAGCTACTTAAAAGGTCTTCGCATAACTTGTCGATATCGTCTCTCAGTCATAGCAGCTCTCTCCTATTCAGAACTTTTTTGCTATATTGTGATGGAACGTACGAATTTTCCTAATAGTAGAATATTGTTTTTGCCCTTCTGCTGAAATGTGTTGCTCGAGCTTGTTCATTCATATATTACTGAATAACATATTTTTTCAAAGCTGAATAATTTTCTGGAAACAAGCTTTTCCATCCAACTATTTCCCATCAAAATAGCTTTTGCTGTTGTATGCAATCTTGTCTAACTGGTCCTTTTGCTGACTTTACGAGCATACCCATAATTTATCTATCCTAAAACAGATGGAACTTCTGCTGGCCGTAAGCGTCCTGCAAATACTACTCGTGGCTCTGCAGGTGGATCGACTCGTTTCGTGGTCGTGGGCGGCAGTATTCGTTCCTTTGTGGCTACTGTTATGCGTCGCCCTCGTCGGGGTACTCTATTCCTTGATTTTCGCGGCAATCCTCGCGCGAACGCCTGAGGTCACCGCAGAACAGAAGCGGTTGGCCTCGCATTCAGCCGTTTCGTACACTTTACTTGTGTTACCGTTCGTTGCCTTTCTGGTTCGTAGTCTCTTGCTCCATGCTGATTTCACGAAAAAATTGTAACTATGTTGGCAGTTTATACTCGATATATATACTTTATCAGACATCTCGGTACTATGTGTTACTATCCGATTACACTCAATATTGCGAGCGGTAAAATGTTATTATTTTAAAGGAGAATAGGTTTCCTTTGGGGATGGTTTCTTATAGAATCAGTTGATGTTGTTACAGGCGCTACTGACGAATAAATTAGACGGTCGGAGTCAACTCACGTTCACTTCGTGCTCTATGCCACTAGCGGCCACCTTCGTGGTGCTCCTGATTCTTTCATTTTCCTGCAAAACAAGAAATGCTTGTAAGTTCAACTAGGGTGTGCTCATTTATTTCTTGAGCATTTCATGTATATATATATTCGTATGTATTAGGCTGATGTTTCTCAAGCTTACTGAAGCGAAAGGAATGAACGAAACAGATTTCTAGTAACTCTGTAAGATTACAATCTTTGGTGCACTTATATCCTTGACGCTATTAGATTTGTTGCGTGTAGATGACGTGATCACACATCCCGTTAATAACGGGCATGCTATATTGCCTTTCTTTCTTTGGCTGTTTATTTTATAGGGCTTTTTGGATCTCGTCAGGATCTTTGCCGTCTCTTGATCACAGCCTGTCCCCTCCTACAGGAATACGGGAACATTTCGTACCGGTTACACAGTAACAGCCATCAGGCCGCATCCGCCAGTCAGCAAAGCCAGCAAGCTCAACAGGCCGAAAATGGTCAATCCGACCTTGTTCCCTCGGCGCTCACCAGGACCAAGCCACACAAAGGCAGCAGTAGTAATACTAATAAACGTCAGGAACAAGATGGAGCTGTATGCCCCATAAGGGCGATCGATACTCCAGACTAGAAAGCAACGATAGGTATTACTCCACGAGGGATGAGTGACCGGGCAATGTGTATAAGTCAAGTCCATCCACCAAGGTGGTCTGTATAAATATGGCTGGAGGAAAAAACGACATTCGTAAGGATATGTCGTTGTAATGTGCATAGTGTGCGCTCTGGGAAAGAAACAAGTTCACTGTTGAGCTTCTTTCGGTGTTGGGCTATTAAGAAACCTTCTGGAGACGTTTTACGGTCAATTGCAGCGACACCTAGTCTAGAAGAAGCGGCTATTGCGACGCTGAACAAAGTGAATTGCAAGGACGATTACCTAAAGTAGCAAGACCCATAAACCTTGTCTTTGATGAAAAGGTAACAGTAGTATCGAGCTAATACACAATGCCAAGCATCAGTTAATGTGTATGTACGTAAAAGATCAAACATGCGTATACACATGATTTCATTATACATGCAAACACACGCACACTCGAAATCCACTCAAACCAACAGAAAAACATGCAGAGAACTTTTAAATAACGATATTTTAACGCCAAGGCCTATATTAGGTGTAGATGATGACTATGATAATACCAAACTTAGGTGAGGCAAGGTAAGAAGGGTAGTTTAGCTGTACAAAACATAAACAGCTAAATAATTAACCTTTGTGCGCTGATGCACACACACAAAATACAATATCTGAATAACCCATTTACTATGAAAGCTACTAAATAACGAAAATTGGAAGGAATCATGCAGTCGTCGATGCAGTGTGAACCGGGGCAGATACTGGGTTCACGACTTGTTTCAGAGGATTGACGATTTGGCTCTATTATGAACCGACCTTACGTGGCGACTCGTGGCCGCACGTTTGCGTGTAGAAGCATAATCATGTCAATATGATGTGATGATGTCTGGGGACAACAGCAACGAGTGCACTAAAAGGCCACGGGATGAAGTTAGTTACAGTTCGGACGCAACATTGAAGATACATGAGCGCGTGGTAGTGATTACGACGATGGCGAGTGCCTAACGTTAAGCCGGGAACGAAATTGAAACCAGTGAGTTGTCGAGTAACTTTTAATGATACGACTGATAAGAGACCGTTGCGAGACTGGGTAAATAAACATAAACCAACGTAGTGCCTAGTGTGGGCTCCGCCAATGGCGACCTCGTGCACAAAGTGCATCATGCAATTACCTAGCTACTTCTATTACAACCAATGCAACTACAAATACTACTGATGTTATGAGAAGAATATCAGAACATTAGGCGGTAGACACTCACACACATACACACATGTATACATATTAGGCTATATTATGGTAATCATTTGTATTACTGGAAAAGACGCGACGCCAGACTACGTTGCTTCTATTCAGTAATTACCGTTTTTTTTTAAGTCAATATAACAAGTCGTCAGGGCTGAAGGTCTATTTTCTTCAGTGCTGGTACTCGACAGAGTAAGCTTTTAGTAGCAAATATTCGGCAGAGCTTTTATAGACAGACGGAACGATCCTTGTGAAACGGCTTTGAGACACGGATCTATTGTTTAGGCAAAGATCAACGACAAGAGCTATATTCAGAGCCGAGTATTTTTTAGGAATTGCGGCATGATTTTTCGAACTTAACTGTGTGGCCGTGTTTGTGTGTGTGCATGCGTATAGTGTAACAACAAATGCAATCAATGCTCCCATAATAATAGAATTGGGTGACATAAAAGAAGTGAACACGAAGCACGTTACTGCTCGACCGAGCAGCACAAGTGACGGCACTCCACAATAATGTAGAACAACGCATATTCTCATAAAGGGTCATGTGTTAGGCTTTGAACAATCATAGATAATCTACAGACTGCAATATTATGAACATTATTGCTACATAATAGTATTGCTACATAACTGACTAGATCACGGATAGGTACCACGTACAGACGAACTGGACTGCCGCGCAAACCTTTCTACCAATGAGGAACTGTAAAAAGAAGCTAGAGGACTCAGGCACCCAGATGTGCTCCACGACGTCTTGGACAATATTAGGCCTATCTATAGGCCTTAGCTTACTAGGTACGTAGTCAGGTTTTGACATGTTGTGCGTCAACAGAAAACACCAAAAGCTGTTTTCTGTTGGTTGCGTTTTACTATTAACGGGCAGCGCGGCAGCCCGTAGTGCAATGCGATGAGGTTGGTTTTTAGCTCCTTATAACAAATCGCCAAATGATGCTAACGCTTTTTCTTGCCCAGAGACAGCAGTAAAGATAGCAGTTTTCGTTGTGGTATAAGTCAAGAAAGGCGTGCTAGCATTACAGCTCCTATTAACTTTAGTCAAATGTTGTTAATCGATGTTTTATTAAAATGAAAATAATTCATTACTTTCTGTAGATCTTTCTGCAGGCATGTGTGTATTTTCTGTCTGCAGTGTGTGTGTAATAAGGAACACGTATAATACCTATATGACATATTTATTATATATTTGTAAATAACGAGAGCTTCGAAAAAAGCTAGAAAGGCTTGACAGTGCTATATAATAGAAGATGCCTAAACTATGATTACAGGAGATACATACGAAAACATTTTCGCATTTGAATGAACTAAACATCTTCGGTTGACATATCAAAGACAGTAAAACATGAAAATAAAGACGAGTAACGAGTATCATTACCATTATAGAACTAGAGATTATAACGTTGATACTACGTCATTTATTGGATTATAATATTATGCTTTTGGTGATTGTGCGATGTGTGTTTTGATGCGACGGTGTGTCTGAAGGCGTTTGTGTGAATTGGAGTGGACGTATTTGAAAGAAATAGCATCATTCGATGTAAACACGTGGGACACCTTAATTGAGACTATGAGAGATAACACCGAAGATTAGCGATATTTTCGTAGATCTCATTACCGCATTATTTTAACAAGAATAATACCACGACAGTTCGCAATGGATTACTAATAGCGACAACCATATCGATTGGTCGATATCTCGTAAAATCCATTACTTAATCCGGCTAATAGTTTGTAAAAAATCACATTGTGCTAAAATAATCTGGGTTAGTCTGGCAGTGGCTGGCAATCCAGTACCTGCAGAACGGCAAAAAGGGGGAATATTTAATTAGGTTTATTGTTTAATAGTGTTTTATTTGAGTGTTTTATTTTTATTTTTATTATTATTATAATTATGAAGGAAATCGAAACAACAATTCATAGTAGACATTTTGCCAATTTCTGTGAAAATATGAATCCAAGTGTGAAATACACATAATCTATGGGCGTCAGCGAAGTCATTGATCCAGATAAAATACATATGCAAGCTACAAATTGTAGCAGCTTGCATTTGCTAATTGAAAACGTTAGTTTTTGTTCTGGTAAGTGTAAGCCGTTTTTCATTGCCAGCTATTTTTCGTTGTCGAATGTCGATATACTTCGATTTTTATATCGAACTCTTATTACTTATAGTTGAAATTCAAGATAAAAAAGAATGATTTTGTTCTACTTCTCGTTTTCTAATAATATAGCTTAGTTTAGATACGAGTTTAGGAGCCGTATTTAAGGAGTTTACGGTTAACAAAGAGGGTCGACTTGTTTGAGTGTGATGCGAACGCTAATGACGCTTTTATTTTTACTATTCACCTTAGCTCATAGTTCAATGCAAATGATGGAGGAAATCTAAACAACAATTTATAGCGGACATACTATTTTACACGCTTAGCTTCTAACCAACCGCTGAAAATAAAATAACGATCATTATAGCATGCGTGAGAGTTTATAAAATATATTAATAACTATTAAATGGTTACTTCATATGGGTATATGTATATAATTGTTTTCGCAAATTCGTCTTTACTATAACAATAACATTTAATGGAAGGCGTAATGAGCTTCTTGCGAGAAGATGTCCATGGTCGAATGTAGCAGGCCAATATATCGATATTAGTTCCGTTACAACTGATGTATTAGGACTATTTCACGTGCTGTAGCATATCGTTGGGTTCAGAGTCCTACAAAAAAATACACTTCACATATTAAGAATACAAAATGACCTATTTCGCTAAAAATAATATTAATAATCTTAATCGTGCCAGGTTGGTTCACAATGGGAGCATTTTACGGCTTCTGTGCAGTTTAGGAGTTGTTTTGATAAAGAAGATATCGAAAAGAAGAACATAATGATGCTGATGGTAATTGTGCGATAATAGCTTCTGTTCGCTTTTATCTCTACTTTTCCTCTCAAGGTTTCCTGACGATGTTAGTTTCTTTTTAGTGATTTCGTTTTAATTTCTCTGACTCTAATCTATTTTTTAAAAAACCTGTAAGGTACTCTGGCATATGAAAAGATAAAAATCCTATTGTAAAATTTCAATGCTCGCAATTGTGTTTTCTAACTTCTTTATTATTTTCTAAGCCAACCTTGGGCTATGCAGGCGCCTCTTCTTCCATAACAAAATGTACGTATATACATATATATATAGGAACTGTACGGAAGTTCACGTCGCCACACATGAAGAAGGCGGCGACTATGGTCAATATTTTGATCACGCATTCACTTCAAAGACATGGTCTAACTATTTTTGCTAACCCCACCATAACGGAAGAAGCTAAACCACCAGAGAAAAACACATTCACTGTGAGAGATAAACTGTCTCACAACATTTCAAAAACCGACTAATGGACAGGAAGTGGAAAACGAAATAAATGTTTGACAGGGGCAGACAAAGGCACCAAAGTCAAAATAGCAAGAAAACGAAGAAAATATGTAAAATAACTACTAGTGATATCTACACACCCATTAAAGAATGATATAGTTAACTAAAAATATTTTAATTAGCGTCAATGCGTTCAAAAGAACAAAGCTGTTACCATTCACCCCGAAAGACCAGAAAAAACAAAATATGTAATATATATGGCATAGGTAGAGAGTAACGACAAACTCTACAAACAGTGACTGACTCAAATAAACAAACATACACGTGTAGACACTAACTAGTAGCAGATAATTACAAGCATGTGCACTGCATAGGCACATGCAAAAAAAAGCGAAGTGCAGAGTAGAGACTTACTAAGCCAGCCCCATATAACATACGAGTAAAGGACCGCCCATCTGGCCTGGAAGAAAGAAATCATAAAGTGCAATAACAATGCCAAGATGACTAAAAACGATACATGAGTATATAAATGTATACGTTCGTGAAAGAATGATAAGGGAGCAAAAGTAGCAGAAATGGCGATGCTAAAGATACAAAAATAAACAAGGGGAAATACGACGGAATTAGGATAGGACAGGGAGAACTATGATTTGACAAAAGATTAGTACATAGTTGCAAGAAATGAAATCAATAAACGATATAT